CCCTCTGGTTTTCCGGAGGGGGGGAGGTTCGAACCGGTAATGACCCCCCCCCGGTTTTCCGGAGAGGGGGGGGGAGAAGGAAGTTTCACGACAATCGGTTTTTGTTTCAATGGGTTCGGTTCTCACATTCAGCGTTGTTACCATCATCATCCATCATCATTTTAATTCATCCTCATCATCATCGTGCTCATCATCATCTTAACCCCTCCTCGGTCACCATCATCTTCGTGGGCTTCTCAGCTCGCTGCAATCACATCTTCCAAACCAAAACATGTGCAAACAAAGTGTGGGCGCCGCGCTCGCTGCGCGATGATTATTGGCAACGCGATCACCGCGATGAAGCTGGGTCACAAAGTGCCAGTTTTCCGAGGCGCAGTGTTGTCTGGCAATGGCCCAACAATAAACAGCAACAAGTGGGCAGCATGCTCGCAACAATCATTGTCCATAGCCAGCTGGGTTCGAGTGTTTTCGATGAGTGGCGACGAGAGCCTCCCTAGCAACGAAAGCCTTCCCGGAAGTGAAGTGGAGTCTCTGCCATGTAGCAGCGTTGGTGTGCGCCAAGAAACCGACGGCGACGATGAAGCTAGTGAACCTCACGGCGTCGTAGATGCAAGGTGGCAGGTGGAATCTCTTCCAGCTGACGACGACGAATGCGAATCGCTCCCGGGAGATTGCTGCACTGACGGATGCAAAGGGCACATCGAAGACCAGCGGGCAGCAGAGCTACAACAGTGGAGGCAGATGAAAGTTAAGTTATCAAACGACGAGGTCAACGAATTTGTGTTCCAACTAATGGTCCGCATGCAGATGATAGACGGGGCGGCATCAGGAAGCCACCAACGCTTCAAATTCCAGTTTCTTGGGATCCAGGTGTGCAGAGTCGCTTTCCGCGAGCTTCTCGGTATTGGAAATTCTCGTCTTTCCAGATTGATGAAGTGGCTGAAAGAAGGGCACGTTCAACCTCCCCGCGACCTCCGCCACAGTACAGTGCACGAGCGGGGGGAAGCTACAGTTGCTTGCGAAAAGATGCTACAATGGGCATATGACGTCTTGGCGGAGCGTTTGAATAGTAGCGATGTGCGGCCAGCTAGTTATCTTGTTGATTACCTTGTCCCAGAACTTGCCACAAGAGTAGACGATGACACATCAGACCCATCTTTTTGCGCATTGCCAAATATGGATGGCTACCGCGAGTGGATCCACGGACCAGGCGCGACGTTGCCAGCTACAGCCGCTGACGCGGGCGAAGTGCGTTGGTTGCCTCCGATGGCACTGGTCGACCTGTACCATCTGTTGTCGTCGCAAGACTTTGGCCTGCGCTCGCTTCCTAGCTACGTATCATTCACCCGGGTATACAACGAGCGCTGGCATCAGTGCCTTCGCATTCGGCCAAAGATCCTTCAGTCCAAATGCGACACGTGCGAACGCCTCAAGGCCTTAAGGAAAGCAGCTACATCACCTGAGGCGGCAGAGGCGGTGCGAACAGAACACCTCGCCCACGTGAAGGAGACTTTCCTGGACCGGTCCGTCGACGAGCGCATCCAGAGCGCAGCTCGGGAGCCCACGTCGACTCCTGGTGGCGTGGCTCGCTCGCGATCTATCTTGAATTTAGACATCGACGCCATGGAGGCAATGAAGTTAAAGTGCCCGAGAAACATCTCGGCCGCCAAGACGATGGCGGCGTTGTGGAGGCCACAACAACATATGGTCGGCAGCATCGTCGACGGCATTGCAGACTACTACTGGCTGGTGCCACCCGACATTGTGAAAAATGCAAACCTGTCGGCCACGATCGTGGCTGATCTTCTGCAACACGCCGCAGGTGTTCTCGAGTCTCGCAGAGTTCCGATGCCGACGCATTTGCGCGTCCACTCGGACAATGCCGGAGGTGAAATCAAGAACCAAACGTTCATGAAATTCCTGGCGTTCCTGTCGCACAAGGAGCACTTCGATTGCACGGAGATGACGCAGTTTCAACCTGGACATAGTCACGGCCGCATTGATCAAAATTTCAGCGTCGTGGGGACGGCGCTCAATAAGAGCCAGGCGTTGGAGACACCAAGTGATTTCAAGGCTCGCATAGAAACCACAGGTGGAGATGGAAAGCGACCCCTACGTGTTTCTGAGTTGGGCGCAGTGTACGATTGGAAATCGTTTTTCGATCCCCTTCGCGTCGCCCCGCACAACCACGTGCAGACACACGCCATGACGTTGCAGAACTCGGAGGCGTGCCACGTGTTCAGATTTTTCCGCCGCGACCGCATGCGCAGTCTCCCCGGCGAGCTGAGCTCGGTCACAACAGAGCCAAACTCTGTCTTCCCGGAGCCGCCTGCCGAGGACGACATCATCTTTGTCACTAAGCATTACGTTGGTTCCCAGACATATGCTCAAGTACCAGAAGTATTTTGCCCTGGATCCCGCATGCGAGCTCTTGACCCAGGAGGCCCAGGTGCTGCATCGGGGCGCGTGCAGTTTTCGGACCGCCAGGTCAAAGAGTTCAGGAAAACGGCTACGACGTTGGCTCAGGCACCGTGGAACATGCATCGCGCGAATGAGTGGCTCACTCACCTGGTAGAGAATAACATTGCGGGCTACGCTGAGGGTTGGGTGCCGCCCGTGATTGAGCATCTCGTGACGACGGCCACCAAGGAGCCCTTCGTCCCCCGCCATCCAGCGAGGGAGGCCCCTGCAGAGGCAGTACCTGTTCGGATGGAAGACGATGGCTCAAAGAGAAAGAAGATCCGCATTGCAGGTAAGAGCACCCCGGCCAGGGCATCATCCTCCCAGCGGGATCGCAACGTGGCGTCTCCATCGATGGCGCAAGGACTCTCCGGCGCCCCGCTGGAGCAGGTCAGCGAGGCTGGGGCCCCACCGAACACGATGGCCCCACCAGCGGCGCCGCAAGGGCTTCTCCCACCAAACGTGCTTCGCAGACCATCGGCGGCAGAACAAGCGCCTCGACTGATTTCAGAGAGAAGGAAACGAAATCTCCTCGCCATACCTGATGAACCGAGCATCGGTTGTTCTAAGTGCCGCCAAGCTGTTGGGGGCTGCAAAGAATGCCGCACTCGTAGGGATGATTGGCGTTTCGTGCATGGCATGTGATGCAGACATGTATGTGTCTGGCCTGGCAAGTGGGCTATGGATTGATGGTTCGCTCAACGGTTCTTCGCCACTCAACAAGGTGGGCATCAGCTCGCTAACAAAAAGCAATCTCCAGCATCATCTTCAGTCATCTATCATTTTGCCACCCTCATTACCCCAGGCATCTGAGTATTACCATCTTCATACAATCCCCTACATCCTGGCATGGCAATGCGCACCCTTATTCTCACAAAATGTTGCGCGCGGCAAAGCGCCTACAAAATCAGGACGAGACCCAACAATAACAATATGATTTGGGTACGTGGCTGAAGTGGGAGCGCAGGCGAGCCGCGTAGGTCGCGCCAAGGAGTGCCGACATGGATACCACCCACCTTTTGTATGAAGTGCGACCCCGGCCCGAGACCCTGGAAGGTATTGAGCGCGCCCTAGACAACGGCCTTCGGGGGAGGAGGGGCCCACAATTTGCGGAGCGTTCCAAAGGAACGGCTTCAATGGGGGGAGAGAGTTAGCTATCTAGGGGGGCCGTCGCCAAATACATGATAACAAAAAATCATGCAACTATCTGGAGATCTTCCTGGGGGGGGGGGCAAGACAGCCAGAGAAAGGAGCATGTTGAGAGCGGCCATCATGTCCCAAATAACTTCCGACTCCAGAGCTTCCAACATCTTGATCCCTACCCCCAGCCCCTTACCTCCATCCCCGTACCTCCATCCCCTTACCTCCACCCCCATGCCTCATTGCGTTTTAAGGTGAGTGTGTAAGACATCGAACAAGTGGGTCTGCACAGCGGTTCCGTCACTGTTTCCACAGCGTTGTCGTCAAGGATGCGGCGTCAGGCCAGCCCCGAACCAAGTGCGCCACATTTGATTTCTGACTCTGAAGAATGTAGCGATGTGCAGCATGTGCTCAGTGACGCGCTACCTCCCAGGAGGGTTACTTGGGCAGAGGCCGTGTGTGATGAGTTGCAGCAGGCAGGGAAGCTGGAAAATCTGCATTGGACAATCACGTACGGAGATGACTGCAGCGGGGCCAGGGCCCCGATGGAAGCATTGCAGCAACTGCGGTCCACAATTCGCGCCCGGGGTGGTGGTACATTGGAGATAATTGACAAATTCGCCAGTGAGTGCCCAGGGAAAGAGGGGGACGGACCTCGCCAATTCATAGAGTCCCGCTACAGGCCAGAGATTATCTTCGAGACTGCGCACTGGGGAAGCGCCACGTGGGCAGAGAATTGGCGCTCCAAACAAATTGTGCGAATTCCTGGCGCGTTAGATGTGTACGTGGCCGGGTGGGTCTGCAGGGACGCGTCCACAATGAATCACCACCGCAATAAACCATTGCTTCCTGGCACGGACCCACGCGTAAGAGATGGCCGCGCTGGTGAAAGCAGTCAGACTCTGGAGTCTAGCATCGAATATATCAGGCTGCATCGGCCACTTATCGCGGTGCTAGAAAACGTTGTGAACAAACGCAGTATTGAAGTCGTCCAGATGGCATTCAAGAGGATTGGCGGCTACGCAGTCATCGTGTGCTTACTGGACAGCCGAACAATGGGCGTGTGCATGTCAAGGAGGAGGTTGTATGCAGTCGCTGTGAACACAAGGAGGCTGCAACTTGTTACGCCTATCGATCAATGGCCTCAGGAGATCATCAGAATTGCGCAGCGGATCACACCCATCCCTTTGGAAGCATCGCTGATGCCATCCACCACAAACGTTGTGCCATTGACTTGCCGCGAGAAGATGAATCCTCAATGGGCTGGCGTACATGCAGCCATCCGCAGTGCCTTGTCACTTCCAACCAGGGTTGAGTTGCTCAAGAAAACTGTGAGTCATTCTCCGACCGCATCATCACTGACACGTCGAATGCAAGATGTACTTGGTATGCATTGGGAGGTCGCAGTGCGCAATGGTATTTCTCCGAATGACCACCATTTCGTGTGGGACCTGACCAACTCGGTGAAGTTCTTCCCTTGCGCCAAAGACCGCCGGTCAGCAGGGATTGTACCATGTGTTTTGCGCGGGCACGTGCTCTGGGATACAAAGATGGGGCGGCAGCTGACAGGCGCAGAGCTGATGCGGGTACACGACTTCTGGATGGAGACGGACACGGAGCTGCCGGAGGCCACGTTGAAGAGCCTTGCTGGCGACACCATGTCGGTGGCCCCAGTTGGCTGCATTTTGGCAGTCGCCTTAGCCAATACTGTGGCTGGCCGAAGCGGCCAGACGCCCGACGCGGGATCAGTGTGGATAGGGCCCTCGGCGCGACGAGGTTTGGACACCAGCCTGGATAATCTCATGAAGATGGCCACTGCGGCGACGAATGGTAAGCAGGCCGGCGAGAACCGCGAGAAACGGAAGCGCCACGTGAGATCAAGCCAGAGCACAAAGGCCAGTTGCTAGACACAGCAAAAAAGGCGCGCCCATTTCTCTCATCAGCCCAGCGGTTTCATATCTATCAGGTGGGCATGGCTCGCTGATCGATCCATCGGGTGGGCATAGCTCGCCGTAGTAGCGTAGAAGCAAAACCCCAGTCTAGAATATCGACTTCACGCTGTCTGCGTAGTTGTATGGGTTCAAGCAAGCGCTTACATATTTCAAGATATTTCCGCGCGAGTGTTCTTACATGGCGAGTCCTGGGACACCCGTGGAAGCGCTTGTGGAAGCGATCCAGACGCGCATGCTGGAATCACAGTTGGTCCTTCCTTTACAAGAAGAGCGAGATAGAACCCGATCTCCTGCACGTCGCCCACAACCACGACCTGTCCAAGAAGCAAGGGCTGCCATCAGGAACCAAGTAAGTTTTTATCTTGGCTTGATTCAGGGGGCCATGCTAACCATGACCATGAGCTACGGGAACGATTTCTGCAGGACATTGTCAATGACCATTGACGAAATTCGCAGCGAGATGGACGGCAACTCACAGAATGACTGCCCCAATCAGAGCCCCCTCAACCCTGCCGCGCCCCCAGAGGCGCGCGACCTCTACAATAAAATGTTCAGGTTGGAGAAGAAGATGCTCGATCTCTGGCAGTCCATCGAGAGCGTCGACCACACGTTCAATGAGGTGAACGTGCTAGTCGGCCAGATGCTGCAGATGCAGGAGGATGCCCACTCGAGGATCCCGCGCCAGCGGGTTTGAAGCTATCATCTGCGGCCGCCCAGGCCCACCCATGATCCATATTGCTCTGTAAGCAGCTACAGCTTTCACTGCTGTTCACGTGTCGCTAGCACAGCTTGTGTTGTCGGTGGCCCCCAAACCCTATTGCACAGGTGCTTTCATATCGCCTCGTCGGTTCAGCCTTGGTCATCTCACAGGTGGGCATAGCTCGCCGTATTAGCGCGCAAGCAGATCATATTGCTCATCCTTCTCCTCCTTCTCCTCCTGCCTCATTCCTCCTCCTCCGCCTTCCCTGCTCCTGCCTCCTTCTCCATTATCATTATTGATCGTGCGCGCCCTCTTCCTCAGCCTTCCCTGCCATCGCCAATTCCTCCCCACCCCCGCCCCGCCACAGCCCATTTGGCCCGAACTCGGGTGCGCGATTTCTTACATCCGACTTCCGGCGAATTCAAACGAACCGGCCCGAACTCCTTATGTAAATCCCAAATGGCCCGAAGTCGGCCCTCCAAACCACATGTGTTTTGACAGCCGAGATCCGGAGATTTGTCGTTTGGGCCCGGAGATCCGGCGAATTCAAACGAACCGGCCCGAACTCGGTTGCACGATTTCTTACATCCGACTTCCGGCGAAATCAAACGACTTCGCCCGAACTCTCTGGGAGTCAGATCTGGCGTCCTGCCGCGCTCGGCGGCCAGTGTCCCATGTCGCTGCGCGCTTTCATGGTTCCCAAGGAGGAGCCGCCCGACAGCCCGCAGGCGAAGCAGGAGAGGGGGCAACTGTCCATGGAAGACTTCTCGGAGCCTTTGAGAGCTGCTGGAGGCCCAGCACAGTATATCATGCAGGAGTGCCCCGACGAAAGCACGGCCACCGCCATGGCTCAGCACCTGGGCGCCCTCTTCGAAAAGGATCCAACTCTTAGCTACGGGACAAAGGAGTTGTTCTACAGCGCCGCAGGGGAGACGGAGCTCATCTTCAGGATCACAGACTTGGGCTTCTCAGACGAAGTAACTACCAAAGGCATGCCGCGGCTTCATACATCCTTGTCATTGGTAGACAGCATCCTCAACGGCGGATTTGTGACGATCAGCGACCCCATACTAGCGTGGCCAAATCCGAAGACTAAAGACAAGGCTCACTGGTGGCTATCGTACGTCAAGGGCCACGCCCGAGCATGCACCGCCATCGCCATGTGCATCATTCTTTACAAGAAGTTTGGTAACGTCGAGAAGCTTTTGGAAGCTGGAGGCCAAAGGTTGTTGGTATCTTTGAGAGCAGTCCGTGTTCGTTGCCATGATGTTGCTCCAGACCTGATGTCGGTTGCCTTCAAGAACGCACTTTTAGCCCACCGCGGAAGCATTCGCAAAGCTCATGATGTGCTCAGTTGGATCCAGAAGCTTGAGAAGGTGTCTGTGGCCACAGGCTGGTCTGAAGACGAAGTCTTGACCAAGTGGAACCAGGAGTGCCCTTCGGACGCCCGGGTGACTGGAGCCAAGAAGGTGTGCTGTCTCAACATCCTCAGGTCTGTCGACAAGGAAGGCCGTACTCTCCTCCTGGACCACGCGTCGAAATACGGTGAGAACAGCGCATTCCAAGATGATGCGTTCTCGTCCAAGAAGATACTTGCAGGGTACAAGCCGCGCATTGGGTCAGTGAAGTGGACCCGGCTGCTGACTGTCACGCACGAGTCGTTCAGGGTCATGATGATCGCCGTCATCAGTAGACACGAAGCAGCGCCAGAGGCAGCACGCACCAAAATCTCAAAGGCCAACCTTGAGAAGATCAGCGAGTTGTCAGCGTTGGCACATGCCATCATTATGGACGCCATCGCCCAATACCCGCAGATTCCACATTCCGACCTCTCCGATGGGTTCCTCACGCCCTTTGCGGAGGGCGACCCCAACATCACCCTATCGCTTGAGACTGCCATCATGCAGAAGGAGGCCAACTTTGGCGTCACAGATATTCCCGAGCTCAAGGAGTTGATCATATCGCTAACCGCTGGCGCACCTGGCGGTGATCCGCCAAAGGCTGTGGCGTTGAAGGTGGAATCGACTGAGCTTGAGAAGCAAGAGTTTGAGCTGTTCAAGAATCGTGTCCGCCACGATGTCAGCGTGGCCAGCGCCTACATCGGCAAAACTCGCGATCGCGAGACGGCCATGTACTACAAGACAGTGCAGCACCGTGTCTGGCGAGCCCAGGAGGCCGAGTCTGCGGCACAGTCGTTGTTTGACCCCTCTCACGTGAATTGCAAGATCACCCTTGTCACGTCGGCAGACCAAAAAGCTGTGACAAAGGCGGTTGGGCGAGTGAAAGAGCAATTAGCCAAGAACGCCCTGACGTCGAACACCTCTATCAACACGTTTGTGCACATCAATTGGACGGCGATGTCGCTATTCAATGCGAAGACGACCAAGGCACAGCACTTTTTGTTGGGTGAGTTCGTTCGCTCCGACGGCCCGGCAATCGGGATGGTGCTTCTCCCAACATTCACCTACAAGAAGGGCTTCCTTTACAAGGCGGAAGCAGAAGCGCAATCAAGCATCGGCCAGCACGGCCTCTTCATTGACAGATCTATATGCTTGCACTTTACTGAGCAACCAGAGGAGCGTTCAGAACGGCCACTCATGATCAAGGGGACCTTGGTATTTGCTGACGACGACTCCAACCGCATCAAAGCGTGGAAAGGCATTCCAGCATTCAAGGATCCAGTCATTGCATGCGGCGCGCAGCTCCGCACCAAGGATATGGTCACTGTGGAAGATACCGCGATGGAGGCGTTGCCTGCGACAATCGAGACGGACACGCACGCCAGCCAAGGAGAGAAACATCACCAGCTTGGCGTGCCAGCTTACCACCGCGTGCTCAACGCAATGCTTTCAGGTCTCCCAGGTGATCAACGGGGGGCGACGATGGTGATCGACTTGTCCTTGCACACTGCTGACATGCTGAAGGCGTTCATCACGTTCAGCGAGACTTTCGGGCAGCAAGTGGCATACGTCGGCATGTGCGCAGACGAGATCTCCGTCGACTTCTGCAAGGCTGAGGGTACTCATTACACCAAGCAACGCATCTTAGCAGGCGACATGAAGGTACCCCACTTCAATGTTCCGCCAGCTGAGGTGCCGTCTGATAGCCAGTCGCCAGAGATTGCCAAGCCGCAGCTCGTTGCCATGCGCTGGACCGGCGACCGCCCGACGATTGCCGAAGTCGACTTGCAGAAATGGAGCGGACACGAGGTCTTTGCAGAGCAGTTTTCAGACATGGTGGCGACGCTTGAGTTTGAAACTGGGTTCGACCTCGTAAAGGGCAAGGACAAGGACAAGGGGGAGACAGACAAGGGTGACAAGGCAGCTTCGCCTGGCAAGACAGGTGCCGACCCAGCGGAGCGCCCAGCAAAGGTCGCTCGGACGACAGAGCCTGATACGTTCATCGACGAATCGACCATCGCTACTCAGATCACCCACGACGTCCCGCTCACTTCCATCAATGGGAAGACGGGGAAGCTCTATCTACGCGTGTGCGTGAACAACGAGATGTACATCGTCAACAAGGGCACAGAGGCAGCAAAGGTGTCGCAAGGCGCCATGCTGGCTGGTTTCTCAAAAGGGAAGTGGACGAATGACATGCTTGAGGACAAGCCCGAGAAGTACATCAAGTTCGAGTTGGCCGATTGCGACAGTCTTGTCGTCTTCAACGCTCGGATGTGTCGCGTCGGGGCGCTTGTGAATGAGAAGCGTTTGACAGAGAGTGCAGATGAGACGAGAGTGTGCTACCACAGCCTCGTGGAGAGCCCGACGGACGACGACCACACAGCCTTCAAGCTCAACGTCTCGCAGACAATATACTATCGCTTGGCCGACGTGGCCGTCAAGGAGGAGGACAACGCTAAAGCTCCTTCTCAGAACAACGTGGGCGGGACCATGCCGGCAACAGCGTGGGACACCAAGAACACAGGCATATGTTGGGTCATGCAGTGGCACAAGAGGAAGGGCTTGCAACCCGCTCGCCCGCAGGTGTGCTGGAAGGCAAGCGACATCGACATCTTGCCTGGCAAGGCGTTGAAGCTCATCCAGTGAGCTGGGCAAGCGGGCAGGGCGCCCCAGATTTTGATGGAGCGCGAGTGGCTACTCGCGCTAGCTCTCGATGAACAGGTGGGCTGAGCTAGCTCACCGCACGGCGTCTTTGATATTTTGGACAGGTGGGCACAGCTCGCCCGTTAGCGCGAATGCAATCATACCTCCTCCTCCCCCTTCCTTCCAGCCATCCTTATCATAGTGTTTCGCCTCCCTTGAAATCCACGAGGAGATCCAATATGCGGGGCCAAGTTCTAATTTCTCAAAATGTTTCAACCCTCATTTCTGTGCCACCCCGTTGCCCTCCTCTGAGCCTTCAGCATCATCACCATATTGATAGCTATATTGATATCATCTAGGTGGGTTATCAGCTCGCCCCATCGTCTGAATTAGCATCATCATGGTTGCCGAGTTGGGCGCTCACCCAGGTCTCCTCCGCGGGTTGGCGTCGCTAGCAAGTCTCTGCCAAGATATCCTCCCGGTCCTCGTGAGCCTTCCTTGGGCTTCCTTCCCGTGAAACCGAAATCTGGTTTAGTTCAATTATTGCAGGTGGGTCCTCATTGACAGCTCGTGGGCCCAATGGACTCCAAGAAGGCATTCCAAAGTCCGGAATGTTTGAACCGATTTTTCTGGACTTCGGCGCGCCCTCCAGAAGAACCCATCGAGGCCTTCTTGGAGCCCTCTTGGGACCTGGGCTCATGGCCCCGCGAAGGCAAGGGGCCCATTGGGCCACGGGGCTCGCCAAGTGACACCATCAGTGTGAAGTCAGCGCACCTTGATCGCAAATTGATGGCCATTTTCTCAGGGCTCCAAGGGGCGGCGGGCGATCCAGCGCCCGAGCGGCGGCTGCGGAACGCAGCAATGGGAATGGTGGAGGAAGTGGGCCAATGCGATGAGTTCTGGCTCCATGGCATCAAGGAACCCTCTGGGCTCTACCTTATCACTGGC